ACTTTTACTTATATCAGTAAGCTCCCTTGCCTGCAAGATTTCCTTTACATATACTGCAACACCACCTCCCTTCTTACCTATACGGTCTTTACGGAACAATGTGTAACCATCCCTATTATATTTTTGTCCATCCTTTTCACTCAACCACGTTTCAGTTATTGCTATAATATCATAAGAGTCCAATGAGATAAGAGCCTCTAAATCATGAATTTTATTCCTAATACTCCTGGCGTTTAAATACAGACAGCAAAGGGTAGGCTTATTACAGTGCCTACTTATAATATGATTTTTTTGGGCTTTCCGTTTCCCCCTAATGTTTTAGGCACTGAAGTTGTTTAATGTGAAAACTAACTTTAAAAATTACAACCCGAATTCTGGAAAATCCAGAATTCAGGTCCATGATTACTAACGAGAATGTCAAATTTGGACTCATCTGACCATAGAATACTTTCCCACTTTGAAACAGTCCATTTCAAATTAGTCTTGGCCCACAGGACACAATGGCGCTTCTGGACCATGTTAAGATATGGCTTCCTTTTGGTATGATAGAGCTTTAGTTGGCATCTGTAGATGGCACGTCGGATTGTGTTTACTGACAGTGGTTTCTGGAAGTATTCCTGGGCCCATTTAGTAATGTAATTGACACAATTATGCCGATGAGTGATGCAGTGTCGTCTGAGGGCCCGAAGACCATGGGCATCCAATAAAGGTCTTTGGCCTTGTCCCTTACGCACAGAGATATCTCCAGTTTCTCTCAATCTTTTGATGATGTTATGCACTGTAGGTGATATCAATTAACTTTATTAGTTGCTAGATGTTCTCCCAGCTGAATCTTTTTAAACTTTCCTGCTTTTTCAGCCATTTGTTGCCCCCGTGCCAACTTTCTTGGGACCTGTAGCAGGCATCAAATTTGAAATGAGCTCATTTAGTGGATAAATGTGTACAATTTCCCAGTTTAAACATCTGTTGTTATCTATGTTCTGTTGTGAATAAAATATTGGCTCATGTGATTTAACTCTTTTAGTTTTCATTTTATTCAAATTTAAAGAACGTCCCAACTTTTCCAGGATTCCGGTTGTAGAGTAAAATATATTATTTTATATTATATTATGACAGTACTGTATGTGTCAGTATTTAAAGTAAATTAACGAAGATGAGAATCAAATATTGGACATATTTGTGACATTGTGTAATGGCAACTGTCCAGCCTGCAACAGACTTATGCATCGCAGGATGAATTGCATCTGCGCCCTACGTGTTATTCATAAACATGCAATTAATTCAAACAAGTATGGTACGAGAAAAAATCACCCGCGATGACATCGGCGT